TGACCTCCTCTCCGCTTTTTCCAACCAGTCCCAGGGTCGGCAAATAATGCACGACGTGGAAGTCTCTGGGACGACATTCGTAAAACATGTCCAAGCCACCGAAGTCGGTGTTTCAAGATGGTGACACCAATTGAATTATCGTCTCTGCGCCCGAACACACGATGCCGAACCTCTGCATTACTAACATGGTGTTGCCACTGGATGTCAGCAATCCTTCGGAGACAACGATGATCGAACACAGAGAGACGTCTAACATCCTCAACTCGGAGAGGCCAGGTTTCACAAGCATAGAGCAAAACTGCTCTCACCGACGCGTTGTAGATCCGACCTTTTACAGCCAGACTAACATCACGAAGGCGCCAAAGATGGCCCAGATTGGCATAAGCCGCTCTGGCTTTCATTATACGTGCATCAATCTCATCACTCACGCCACCACCAGCACTTATATAGCTACCGAGATACACGAACTTCTCAACTACTTCGATCTGCTCACCATCCAGGGTGAGTACAGGATGAGAATCCTGCCAGTCTTGTAGGAGTACTTTGCACTTGGAGGGTGCAAAGCACATGCCGTACCTGCGGACACTGATTGCCAACTGATTAAGTGCTGATTGCATGGCTTGAGCATTATCGCACAGTAAGACAATATCATCCGCATACTCGAGGTCGAGAAGTCGTTCTCCAGGCAACATATCCACACCGCCATTACTTACATCCATCGGAGCTGTTTCCAGGATGTCATCGATGGCAAAGTTGAAGAGGAATGGTGAGATCGGGCAACCCTGCCTAACCCCACTGCTCGAATGGAACAAGGGAGAAAGGTGGTTGTATGCCCTCACTCTGCCTGAGGTGTTCGTGTACAGGGCCTTTAAGATGTTAATGAACTTCTCAGGCACACTCTTCTTCAATAGACAATCCCAGAGAACAGTCCTGTCCAACGAATCGAAGGCCGCCCTGATATCAAGAAACACTACGATTGTTGGCCTGCGATAAGTATGACGGTGTTCTAACATTTGGCGGAGGGTGAAGATGTGATCAATGCATCCTCGACCAGAACGAAAACCAGCCTGCTCCTCACGAGTCAATCGTTCTCGGGTTTTAAACAACCTACGAAGAATGATAGAAGCCAATAGTTTGGACGCAATCGGAAGTAGGCTTATCCCCCGATAGTTATTGCAGGAACAACGCGAACCCTTTTTAAAGATAGGGACGACTATTGACTCATTCCATGTTGTTGGAACACTTTCTTCTTCCCAAACCTTTCCAAACAACACAGTCAATTCCTTAGTCAGAAAGTCGCCACCATCTTTAAAAAGAGCCGGAGGTAAGTCATCTGGGCCCGGTGATTTGTAGCGCTTCAAGAGTTGGAGTTCCTTGCGGACTTCCGCCTCGTTTGGTGGATCAGTCGTCACCGGCCATGGGGGGCAGGACAAGCTGGTTGATGTTGCCGGAGCAGCAGGCCAGTTGAACTGCCCTTCGAAAAATTCCGCCCATCGTCCAAGACGTCGACAGATGTTAGTGATTGGCATCCCGTCATCCTCGTATATTGTTTCACTCACACCAGACTTCTTGCTGCCAGTGGCTCGGATGAGTTGGAAGAGCTTCCGGCAGTTACCAGATGCAGCTGCTGCTTCCATCTCATTAGCACGCTCCGACCACCAGGCTTCCCGGTCCTTACGCAAGCTTTGCCCAATTTCATTACGTAACAGCCTTCGTTTGTGGTCAAACTCACGGTCACCCGGAGTAGACCGACGGGCTTCGATCAGTTGTAAGGAGCCAGAAGAAACCCAGTGCTTGTAAGCGGGACGTTTCGCGAAGCCGCAAGCGGCTTTACTCGCCATTTTCATGGCGTCGTGAAGATGCAACCAATGCTCATCTATACTTTTCGGTGGGGTGGTAGCTAGACTAGAGGCTAGCTCCGCTCGACACTTACTTGCAACAGATGTTGCAGCCAGTTTACTAACATCGATCCGTTGGTGGTGGTCAATCCTTCGGCCACTGAAAAGTAAGGTGAGATTGGCGCAGACCAGGGCATGATCAGACTCCAGATAGGTACTCCAAAAGGAGCGGCAGTCTTGTACACAACCACGCCAGCGGTAGCTGGTCGCGATGTGATCAATCTGAGTCCAGGCTTGGGATGCAGAGGGAGGACGCCAGGTGGCACACCGGCGATGACTGTGCCGGAAGTTAGTGCTGGTTAGAAACAGGTTGTGGTCTGTGCACAGTTGCAGCAAACGGTCCCCGTTATCTGTCCTGCGACCAACAAGTCCCCATAGGCCACCTAGACGACTCTCTTCTGTGCCTAGACGCCCGACCTGTGCATTCAAGTCTCCGGCTAGTACTACAATATCTGTCGAACGCGCTTTCTGGAGAAGAACTGTTAACTGATGGTAAAACTCATCCTTGATTGCATCCGGGCTGCAATCTGTCGGGGCATAGGCGGAGATGACGAAAAGACACCGTTTCTCACGCCGATTTCTTCTCACTTTGATAGAACTTTCTAATCTAACAGCACATAACCGACTGTTAATGGGGAACCAATCGATTAGTGCTGCCTCAGCCCTAGCGCTTAGTGCGACACCAACGCCAGCAAGACCAGACGAAGATGCCACAAAGTCCCCGGATAAGCGCACGTGGAACAAGCTTTTCGAGGCGACAGATGGAGAGCGGATTTGTAGTACTTCACTAGAGTCTTGAATACGGGTCTCGGATAAACAGCAAACATCAACATTAAGACCTTCCAAAGACATAGCCAGCCCTATCTGTTGTCTGATCTGCATTAGTGTGCGAACGTTGAAGGAAGCCAGCTTGAACGGCGTACGCGGTTTCAGAAAGACTGCCTCAGTATTCATTATCGGTGGAAGCATTCACTTTCAACCAGACAGTGACTGGAGATCGTTTAGATAGGACAGATTTTCCACCAAGAGCGAGCTGATGCATAAGTTGAAGAGTAAGGTTACACAAATTAGGGGTAAAAGGGGGTGAATTAGCGATATTGTAAGTAATAATAATAATAATAATAATAATAATAATAATAATGATAATAATAACGTAAATTGTCTTGCTTATAATATGAGCAGGAATAGAATCGTCAATAGAGTTCGTAATTTCATTCATTTGTGTGTGGGCTGTGATACTGCCTGGGTGCCCAAACCGAAGCAGGTGGTTTTCTTAGGGGGCCACACCCGGAGCCTTTGACCTAAAGGTCTGATCCACAAGGCAGTGGAGCATCGTGAGGAGATGCAGTCCCATGGAAGTCGTTGACCAATGACAGGTTCTTCCGCCATTCGTTCCATCAGGAAACTGGAGCCCATGTGCACCATTGGTTTGGAATCAGGGTTTTCCAACTCCCCTAGGTGGACCCTCCGTGTCCACCAATCCGGTTATAGCGCCGGACATTCGCTTTTCGTCCTCTCACTTTCGTAAACAACACCCCCGCCACGAGAACTAGGACAAAACAGTCGTTCAGTTATTCTAGATTTTTCATGGTAGTCTAGCTTTAATTGACTCATGAATTCAGCTATTGAATGACTATAATCTCCACAAAACCTTCTTCTGATAATTGAAAAAAAGACTTTCATTATCTGTTTCTTTCATGATCTAATACTCATGAAGTGATTGTCATTTAAAATCAAATGATTTATTGAGTTGACTACTTTAGTCATTTAAAAGATTACATCATCATCCCTTGATATATTAATCACTGACAAAATTGCAAGATGAGAATACAAAAGAGTTCAATGTCAATGTTAACTCCATCATATGTGATGTTAATGAAATAGTTGATTGTTTATACAAGAATGAGGAAATTCTATAAAACTTAACAAACTACGTATGTAAATTATATTTTTATATAAATGAAATCATGATTCAATTGAAGCTAGACCACCATGGAAAACCTGGAAGCACTGGACAGCCGTTTCGTCCTATTGTGAGACTCCTCAGCAGTGCGCATCCACGATCCCGCACTGGTGAGATTCGAACCCAGAACATATCAGTCTCTCCACAAAACTCCCTTCTGAAAATTATATTTTTGTTAAATATTATTTTATTTGATTGATCGATTACTAAGTAATGATCAGTATGATAATTGTCTAATCCTTTAATGCTGATCATATTCTTCTGATCAATTTGTAATGTGGCCATTAGTTTAACTGACTCGAGACCGCATATTATATGTGGTGGTCAGAAGTATTCAACGATAAACTCTACTTGATCTAGGTTTCCTTCTATTTGATACTAGTCAGCGTTTGCATTACTCATAACTTAGTGATCATATTTGAGACTATAAAGGTAAGTAATTCGAATTTATTTATTTATTTCATTTAAACACATAAATATTGGTACAAAGGAGCACCAGATAAATATGCGCTGCACAAATCCCATTTGATTTGTATGAGGGCTGTGATACTGCCCAGATGCCAAAACTGAAACAGGTGGTTTTCTTAGAGGACCACATTCGGAGCCTTTGACCTAAAGATCTGATCCACAAGGCAGTAGAGCATTGTGAGGAGATGCAGTCCCATGATAGCCGGTGACCAACGATTTATTCATACACCATTTGTTCTCTCAGTATACTGGAGCCCATGTGCACCATTGGTTCGGAATGAGGGTATTCCGATTCCCCGTGTCCATCGACATGGTTAAAGCGCCAGACATTCACTTTTGGTCCTCTCAATTTCGTAAAGAACACTCCCGCCACGAGAAGGCAGTGAGTAGGACTTCCCTGTCAGAGGCTATATAGGCATGTTCATGTGAGAGCATTTCGAGAGGGAGAGCTGAGTCTGTCTACTCTCGGCCATACCAGGATATTTGAGGGCGATTCCGATTCAAATCTTACTGAAATGATTTTTTTCTACAGGATTGCAGATACCCGTTGGAATCTCTGCACAGAGTTTCTTAACGATTACCTTCAAACTACTTCAACATATCATATCATTATTCTTGAATTTGTTGTCTCTAATTTTTATCTATTCCTTTGTTTTTCTTTTGTTATTTAGATTATGCATGTACGTGAAGCAACTGAATTAGATTTAATTCATGCCAAGAAAGAAGATCTATGTAGAACTATACAATTATTTTATCAAAATCCAACTAAAGTACAACATCATATCTATGATTCTAATATTGATGATGGTGATAATATTGATTTAGGGGATACAAGTTTTACATCCTCCTCATCATCATCGTTATTACAACAACAACACCAACTACATCATCATCAATCCATGTTGAAATCGTCAAGTAAATCTAATCAAGATATTACTTCTGTTGGCAATACTACTACTACTACTACTACTCATACTACTAATAGTATTAGTAGTACTACTACTACCCCTAACAATACTACTACTATACAATGGATGAATCATAATTTTCAATTAATCACATATCATTTAGGTAATATATTATGTGATATATGTCATAAAAATTGTTCAGATTTATTAAATCCACCAAAAGCATTAGAATGTTTACATTGTCATATGCGTATACATTTTGAACATGTTAATAAACATGAAAAATGTATACCATGTCATATGGCAACTAATGTACGTTATTTAAGAATGTCTAATATAGCTATTAAAAAATTATGGATAGAACAATTTATGTATTTACGTCAATATTTAAAAGAATTAAAACATACTACTGAACAATCTATGATAAATATGAATGGGAGTTTGAATTGTTTAGATGGTTATAATCATACTACTTATAATACTACTTATAATAATAATAATAATATTGTATATATGAATCCTATCAAATCATTATATCGTAGTATGCGTGGTAGTTCATTAGGTCCCCCTTCTTTACCTAATACAACTACTATTACCACCAATACTACTAATACTACCACTGCTACTACTATGGTTACTAATTTAAATAATCAAAAATCTGATTCTCAATATTCATTTCGTAAAAAATTAATGGGATCAACAATGAATATTACAAATAATAATAATAGTAGTACATCTACTACTACTACTACTAATACTACTACAAGTAATAGTAGTTGTTTATTAACACCAAAATATAATAAATCACCACGTTCATTATCACCAACAATTGTCTTACGTAAAACAACAAATGATCAATAAATGCCTAACAACTAAATTGTTTACTTTACTTTACTTTTTTTTTTCTTGTTTCTACGCTTCATCCCCTTTTTGTGTTTTTAAAGAAATAGCATTTCTTATAATTAGTCGTTAGTTGATCCATTGTTAATGATGGTGATGATGATCATGATCATAACGATAATATTGTTTCTATGCCGTTTTTTTTTTGGTGTTGTCGTTGTTATATTGCATTATATACATATGTACTATTTTTTTGGTGTTGTTGCATACTTCTCTATTTATGGTTCATCCATAATTGTACAATCAATCATGCCGTTGCTTTTGCCTAATTAACACATATATATATATATATGTAAATATGCCTATCTATATATATATATACATGAAACCTTTATTCTGTGATCCGTATTTTTTATAGACTATACACCTATATCAGTTACCATTATTGACAATATATATATTCTTTGAAATCGTCTCCTTCTCCCCCCCTTCTCTCTCTCTCCCACTCGCTTTATGTGTGTGTGTATATCTGTATGGAGAGCATAAAAAATTTTGATTGATCATTCGGCAGCTGATGAAGAATTGATTTTCTTCCCCCCTCCCCCTCTCTCTCTCTCATTTGTCTTTTTTTTTTCTTTTTCTGTGAATGACGCTCACACACACACACACACACTCGATTCTTTTCATTCATCATTATTTGTACAAAAGAAAGAAAAGGAAGATAGTATAGTTTATCATTATCATTATTATTGTTGTTTCCTTTTTGTTTTTCTTTTCATTGTTTCTTCTTTCGCTTCTTTTTTTTCTTTCTTTTCTTTATTTTTTCCTTGAATGATGTAAAAAATAAAGAAAAGAGTAAAATTATTAATCACTATGCTGTTATTTTTTTTGTTTTAAAATTATTGTTGCTATGATTCGGTTAATCGATTGATTGATTGATTTATTGATTGATGATTAGGTTATGGGGAACCAATGGAAAGATAAACATACCTGAATACACACTTATTGTATTATATATATATATATATGCGTTATTTTGCTTTGATACATATTTTTTCAGAGTAGTAATAAATATTTGTTTTGCATTATTATTATTATTTATCTTTTTTTATTCGTGTTATAATGGTTGGTTTGGTGAAACCTATAATTTATGGACGAGCCAATCAGAAACGTTTGAGAAGTTTTAAGGTCACGGCGCCAATTTCAGTACTTGATATTCATGTCAGTGTTGAGTGCTGTTAGAGTTATGAGGGCAGTTATTACTTCCCGGTTGCCCACACTATAGAAGGGTTCTTCTAGAGGTACCTGAAAATGAAATTGGGTTAGTAGCGGTCTTAATGACCTAAGAGTGTGGCCGCAGTGCTCAAGGGATAATTGATTGAGGCCGGTTACGCACAGCCTTTTTGTGGGTAATTTTTGTGTTAATTCCGTACTTGTTGGGACCTTACCACCGGAGACTGATATCCGTAAAGTAAGGCGAGGTGTGCATTTTTAGGGTCGACCTTGTCTAACCCCACCCCTCCTTGTGGGAAGACAGCATCGCTGTTATGCTGGTTGTCTGAAGGAACCACCTTACTGCTGTCACACCTCTGTACAGTCAGCAGTACGACTTCGCCTTCGGACCTTGGGTTCATGTACAATCGGTTCACAAAGAATTTTAGAGAAGACTTGACAATTAAGTGGTTATAATAAATGAGACTACTAAGAAGTTCCTTTATTTGTGATTATGGTAATTAAATGACTTTTAGATCTTCTGCAGACTACCGTGATGTTGTCCTTCGATGTAATATATGTTGAAGGAAGACGTTTGCTAGAATAGGAACCTCTGTCGCTCGATCGAGATTGAGACTAAGGCGAATTATAATAATGACTGCGAATTGTATTATAAAAGCACCAGTAAGATTGGCTGCAATATTCGCAGATGTGACTGAAGCTTCAGCTGTTCAGTGGTATGAGTATTGTAGGGATATATCCATAATAAAAATGATAAACTTATACAACCGGAGTACACAGAAACAATAATGAAACTATGTGGTCGAGACAAAGGGTTTTTGTGACCTTATCATTGGCTCCAGAGACCAACTATTATGGAGCCATATGGATGAGTTCGTCTACCTTATGCATTACGATTTTGAAACCTTTGAACCTCTTTCTAATCTTGAAAAGTTTTTGGACCATATAAAAGAAGTGTATCCACTTTAATTATTTGGTTTTGTATAATATATTTTTACTCTATGCTGACTGTTCTCTGATTGGCTGATATTTCTCAAGGTCACTTAGGATTCGTTCAACTGTAGTCCATAAATTATAGTCTCGCCGTTCGTTTTTCTTGTCTATAGAAATGGGATGTTAATTTGACTTAGACGAATGAATATCTACATTAGATTCTTTCTCAGTGTCTATTCTACAAGATGTCAACACAACTCGGATCAACAATACTTACTAGCTTGACCAGAATGCTTGAGATAAGATGGTGGTTTAAGGTGATCAACAGGAAACCCTGGACACGGCTTTCGTGCTACTTGGCACTATTCAGAAAGGTCGCGGCCCGGATAGCTCAGTGGTAACATCTCTGATTGCGAAGCTTGGTGACACAGGATCAAATCCGTTAGGGAGCATCAGTTCCTTCAAGATTAAAAATATACCTTGATGACAAATGCCAAATAGCTTGAAACCCGTGTTCAGAGCTTCCTGTGGACCACCTTCGATCACCATGTCATCTCAACATAGTGCACACAGTGTCGAGCCACTTAGACACCAGTGACCACATTACAACTTGGTCGATAGCATTCGACCAGCACTAAGAAGGACTTGATACACATGACATTGATCACCATCCAATGTTTTATGGTGTAGGAGAAGGTTGGAAGAATGCTAGGGGCGGCCAGATCAAAACGTGGCACAGATCAATGAAATCAGTGACAAGTTTACTGAACCATGTTGCGAGGTATAGACTACCTGGTTGGGATTCGCGAGTTGACAACGACCAATGGTTAGAGACCTTGAATGACATGGCTCAAAATTGTTTGCGATGGCGAAGGTGCATCCACTGTTTGTGTTCTGCCAAATTCTAATCTTCTAGATTTTCCATGTCTCTATCTTTTTTCTCTTTCCAAATTTATTTCACTGGATTATACTCTTACTACTTCTACCACTATGGGATTTGAATCGACAACTGCATCTCTGTGCTAATGTGGTATGGCAACTTGAACTGATGTACGTACGTACGAAGTTTTACGTTGTGACTGACTGACTGATCAATCAATTGTGATCATTTAATACTTGTTAGATTATTTACAAATTTGACTAAATAAAACAACCAATCATTATCATTCTTATCCACATATTAATTCTATAGTAAATTTTCAATCATTGTTTAATCATAATTTCAAATCAGTAATAAATAATCAACACACAAGGTCTAGCATTAAATCTATTGTGTAACTTAACTGATATAGAACTATAGTCATATTCATTATGACAAAATGAAAATATGTTAGCAAGTGATAATAGGAACGATTAAATATGGTTGGAAGAGTTAGGGGTGGGCAAATCAGAACGTAGCATCAGTGCTTGAAGTCACTAACTTCTAGTCTGAGCCATGTTGACAGATGCAGACTACTTGGTTAGGGTTCACGTGACCATCATAACCAATGGTTGGAGATTCTAGGTAACATGGCTCGGAATCGATCACAATGGCATAGGTGTATACACTATTTATCTTGCCTTAAACACTGAGATTAAAATTGCTTCATATCTGTCTTTCTTCCTGTACTATACCCATGTGTACTTTTCTTTTATATATTACCACCACCACTAAATTAACGATTTCTATGAATTCGGTGTTCATCTTGTTGTGCTAATGAGGTATGGCAACTTGTAGCGATGCATATGTGTGCCTGGTCCTACGTTGTAGCTGACTGACTGACTGAATATGGTAATTGTGATTCGAAAAATCCAAGTGAAAATCTATGTATGTATGAATAAATACTGGAGCTTATGGTTCACGTTTATTTATCTATTTAACATATAAACATTGGTACAAGTAGGCACCATGTACATATGCGCCACATAAATCATTCGATTTGTGTGAGGGCTAGGATACTGTCCGTGTCTCCAAACCGAAGCAGATAATTTTCTTAGGGAGCCACACTCCGAGTTTTTGATCTAAAATTCTAATCCATAATACAGTGGAGCAACGTCAGGAGATACAGTCCCATGGTAGCTGGTCACTAACAATAGGTTAATACTCCATTTATTCCTTTAGGATCCTGGAGCCTATGTACACTATTGGTTTGGAATGTGGGTTTCCCAACTCTTCTAGGTGCATCCTACATATCCATCGACCCGATTAAAACGCCGGACATTCACTTTTTGTAAACAACACCCGTGACGCGAGAAGGCAATTAAATAGAACTTCCCTATCAGTGGTTGTATACGCGTGGCCTTGTGGGAGCATTTCGAGGGAGATGACTGACTCTCCACACTCTCGGCTGTACCAGGGCATTTGTTTGTTTTCATTTTCATTATGCTTTGTTTAAATAATTACTCTTTGTTAGTATCCAAGGATAATAGCTATCTACATAAAGAAAAAATTATGGAGTTCAATTCACGACTGTTGCTGCTACCTTGACGTGGTAGTCGGACTTGCCTATCGTGATGAACCAATCGAGCTATACTGGTTCGAACAATCGTTCCTCAAGGTCCTACCGTGCCAGACAGGACTGTTAAAGAGTGGTAAGACTAAAAGCAGCAAACCCAATGTCCGAAGGCAAAGTCGTACTGCTGACTGTACAGAGGTGTGACAGCAGTAAGGTGGTTCCTTCAAACAACCAGCATAACAGCTATGCTGCCTTCCCACAAGGAGGAGGAGTAGAAGAGGTCGACACTAAAAATGCACACCTCGCCTTATCCCACGGATATCGGTCTCCGGCGGTAAGGTCCTTTGAAGAACCGAGCTAACACGTCAAAAATCCCCCACGGGAAGTCTGTGTGTGACCGGGAAGATTCAAACAAACAAT